AAATGAGATCCCAGAGATATAAATCCAATCCACTAAAAGGAAATATGTAATCACATGGACTATCTTAACTCAATGTTTAGGCAGCACATATCTAAAACAGGATAACCCTCAGCAAACATCTGTTCTGTACCATAAGTTGACAGGTGATCCTGAGGACCAAGTACTTGCCAATCTTAATGGTATTTTTTCTTATGAGAATAACAATATTGGACTCTTTTAGAAAGCACTGAGAATTACTAAAATAATGAATGTAAAATGCTAAGAAAAGCATAAATTCTAGTAATTGCTAATTATCACCATATTTGTCATTATCAATAGTTTTTTTGGGGATTGATTCATTATGAAAGATTAATTTATTTATCAAATTTATTTAAGTGCTTGTCTATACATGCAATATACAATCGCTGACAATTCTGAAAATTTTGGTCTCAGGACTTAATAGGTTCTGAGCTGTTTTCTCCAAATGTAACACCTTTTGGGAGTTGATATGGAAGCTCTAAGATTTCTTTTAGAAAAATAAAAAATTGTTTTACAGATGCCAATAATCTGTGTATTCTCAAAGTCCTGCTGAGGATTATCAGGTGTCTTCCGCAGCTGATCCACTGTCACAGGCTAGAGCCTGCGGGCAGCTTCATCCATTTCCCTGCCATGCTGACAGTCGGATGATAAGATTGAGCTTTTTGCCTCAGTTTCAGGCCCTGTGCACATCCATTGTCAACATTGTCAACAGCTTGTTCCTTTCCCTCAGCCCCTTGGACTGAGGAACCGCCCTGCTGATCAGTTGATTCATGATGATAGATCACTGGTGGAAAACTGATTCATTGAAGCATGCAATTAATAATACAAGTTACAACATGAGTATGCTCCCCTCCACTTTTTAAATAAAACAGCCAAACAGTAACTAATGGGGTTCTGAAAGTGAGGCTGCAGACTGCCCTACTCACATCCACAGTTTCTATGCTGTCTGAAATGATTCACTTAGACTCAAGTCTCAAAACAAGTGGACTCTGGTAATTCTGGTGCGATAGGATGGCATCAGATTCTCCATGTGTCATTCCATGCATTAGGCCCAGGACAGATAACAATAACCCACTAGGGACTTTAATACACATCAACAATAATCAAGTTACTGTATTTAATAAGTGTGAAAAAGATCTTGGAGTCCTAGTGGACAAATAAATATGAGCCAGCAGTGTGCAGCAGTTGTCAAAAAAGCCAACACAATCCTAGGCTGCCTTAACAGAGGGATAGAATCAAGATCCACATGAAGTGTTAATACCACTTTATAATGCCTTGGTATGACCACACTTGGAATATTGCATCCAGTTTTGGTCACCGCAGTATAAAAAAGATGTTGAGGCGCTAGAAAGAATGCAGGGAAGATGATAAGGAGACTGGAGGCTAAAATATATGAAGAACAGTTTCAGAAACTGGGTATATTTAGTTTAATGAAAAAAAGGACTAGGGAGGACATGATAGCAGTGTTCCAATATCTAAGGGGCTGCCAAAGAGAAGGGGGAGTCAACGCATTCTCCAAAGCAACTGAAGGCAGGACAAGAAGCTATGGATGGAAACTAATAAAGGAGACAACTAATAAAGGAGAAATTTCCTGAAAGTTAGAACGATTGATGTAAACGACTTGCCTCCAGAAGCTGCGGTTGCTCCAACACTAGAGGTTTTTAAGAAGAGATTGGACAACTATTTGTCTGAAATGTTATAGGGTTTCCTGTCTGAGCAGGAGGTTGGACTAGAAGACTCCAAGGTCCCTTCCAACTCTGTTGTTCTGTTTAAGAAATTGACAAAACTATAGCCCAAATACCTGGAAGAAACCACACTGCCTGTTAGCCCTGCAAAGTAGTTATGGTAAAAGAATATAATCTAAATATTAACTCTGTCTTTATTGTAAAGTTAAACTAACAGAATCTTGCAAGACTGAAAATATCTTTCCCCTCCTTTCCTTTCACACTCTGGAAAACTAGGGAGAGTCTCTCCTGAAATGCTTCCCATGCCTCTCTTCCTTCTGTGAGCTGACTTTTACATCTGATTGTCTAGCCTGCAGCTCTCCCAAAGTAATTCCCACATACGTACCATTACAATGCTCCTTTTCACTTCACTCAATGTGTAATGTAATGCAACTGCAATCACTTCTACTTCACCAATTAGGATGCACCTCAGTGTCACATATATTAAATACCTGTTTGCAAGGATCAAACTTCCTAAATTGTAAGGGGGAAAATAATGGAAAGGGAGAAGCAACAAGGAAAGAGAACTGAATTGAACACTTTTCCGATGGCCATGCATCCCCTCTCCTCAAATGTTTTTTCCCACAGGATGGCACACAGACCTCTGGGAATTGTTCCTGGGTAAGGCATAGTTAGTAGTACAATGATGAAGCGTTCCAAGGCATTTTTCCTTCAGACCATATATATCCAGTATAAAACAGTGCAAGAAAAATTAAAAGCACTACAGAAAAATTGTATCAATAATCTTCAAAATCTGTATCACTAACAAATAATTGCACGGCAATTGCAATAGTCAATGTATTATCAGACTACAAAAATTGATGTGATAGCTTGTTAACAAGCAGAAACCATTTTATAATATAAATAGGCTGTTTTTATTATTGGCCAGATGTAATGGTATGTGAGAAAGACCTTGGGAGACAGGGTGAGAAGATGTTGCCAAGGGAACGGAAAGATAAGAGACAGCATAGTCAGCAGCTGCATAGTGGGCGAGGCAAGAGGCTCAGAAGAGACTATCCCTAGTTCTTAGGCTGTAAAGGAGAGAGTGGGAGAATTGTACTTTCAGACTTGCAAGATTCTATCAGTGTAGCTTTAAAATAAAGTAGAATTAATTTATCTGGTTGTGTTTCCTATCTGGTCTACCAAATATGGCCAACATTAATCATGGAAATTTGAAAGTACAATTCTCCCCTCTTCTCTTTTACAGCCTGAGAAACTGGAGAGGGTCCCTTCTCAGCCTCTCGTCCTGCCCACTATCCCGTTGTGGGCTATACTATCTCTTATTTTATTGCTCCCTTGGTAACATCCCCTGGCCCAGTCTCCGAAAGTCTTTCTCACATACCAGTATAGGAGACATCATACTTTAAAGTAGTATGAAGTAAGCTACAAGCCCATCTAGTATTTAATTTATTTTACATCATTTCTACACGTTTCTCAGCCTCAGAGGTCCTTGTAACAGTTCAAACCATATTAAGAGTTCAATGAAATATGCAGATTTCTAACAGCTAAAAACTTCAAATAGAAAATAATTTTATCTAGAAAAATAGCAGGAAATAAGATGTGCCATGAATATTTAAATCGAAACACCTTTTAAAATCCTTAATATAATTCACATGTCTTGTAATTCATAAAATAAATTTTAGGAGCCATATTCTAATTTCAAGTGAATAGTACAGCCTTAACCTTTCATTGTAATAATAATAACAAGCTTTAGGAGATAATTTGAAGATGTGACAAGATGTTTCCAACTGACAATGAGGAAAGAGCAGAGTGAAAATTTAAAAGGGACACAACAGAATGAAACCTATTTTTTCTCCTATATACCTATACATATCAATGGAGGCAAAAACACATGGGAAGCCACCTTAAGGCAGAGAGAGATACGAGGAAGGTATATTCTGCTTCGGTTCAGCAACACGTAAGATAAGAAACTTGCAAATTTGGAAATGTAGACAAAAACCAGGCACATATTATCATCTTTGGTGGACATGCTCTAAAGTCAAAAGATTTTGGTCAAGAATATATATATGGTTAGAGAAAATGACTAAAAAACACATAGATTTTAAGCCAGAATTATTTTTGTTAGGTATAATTGTAGGAAATTATGAGAAGGAATGTGTATACTTAATGTTACATGTGTTAACTGCAGCAAGAATTGTATTTGCTCAACATTGGAAAGATGAAGAATTACCAGCGGAAGAAGAGATAATTAAGAAAATTTTAGATTATGCAGAAATGGACAGACTTGACACTGAAAAAGAAAGAGAAAGAAGATTCAAAATATTTTAGAACATGGGATACATTTTATCAATGGCTAGAAAAATGAGGTAGAGAGAAAGGAGTTTAATATGTATTAGTAGGCTAAATATTGAAATCCAGACAATATGTTGCTGATAAAATATTAAGCATTTATAAAAATTAATAAAATATTGGGGGGGGGGCAAGAAACTTGCAAATTATCAGAAATTTTGAGAGAATGAAATGAATCCTGAAAACATCTAATAGAGATTCCATATATTCTTAATTTGTGCCTTCCCAACAGAGACAGGCTTTTATTTTTGCATCCATATTATCATTAAAACCTATTTACAAGTATGATGAAGATTAAATATGAAAAGTGCAGATTGTAGTCTGCCCAAACAATAATTTCCATTAACCGGAATGCAACATATAATAGCATAGGGTAAATTAACCAAATTATTACAAAATAAAAATTGAGAAGCAGCCCCCCCCCCAATATAGGAAAAATAACCCCATATTTGGAAGTAGGTAATAATACATTCTTAAATGCTAAGGTATATATCTCAAACAGTACCGAGATTGATGTCACTACTATGAATAATAAAACTGTCTCTTAACTTTACCCACCTAATCTGTGATTGCCAATGTTTAATGATGACCACAAGGTTAGAGGAACCTTGCAGTATGTTTTACATTTTGCTTCCAAATGTGATAGTGAGCCTTATATCCAGAACTATGCTTTAACAAGTTCAAGGGATGAATGACGTGTGTCATAGCTATATAAAACACCATACATTTTAAACCATTTGAAAGATCTAACCAAATCCATGATAATGTTAAAAATATGCGCAACAGGTGATTGACTTAGGGTATTTTCTGCTCTTTAGCAGAAGGTTAAACCATTGGTAACTGTCCCATACCCCCTTGGTCTTCTGATTTGACACTGACTTGATGACCCTAAAGAGAACTCAGTTAGACACACAATCTCTTATCCCTTGTAAGAAAAACAGTACTTACTCTTGAGTGGTAAGAAAGTCTCTCGGCGTTCATGTCAGCTTCCTGGGTGAGAACAAAATAAAAACATGGTGTTGATTAGATTGTTTCAGATCACTTGAGTAAATCCAGAGAGAAAGTGTGACCCACACGAAGCCTCCAGGAAGAAACACGATCCCAGGCAGAAAGGAATATCCATATGCTTTGGAGCGGTTTTGGAGTTTAAAGCCTGAGACTGTCAGCAAGTCAGCTCTGTGGAAATCATGACGACTCTATGAACTTGTATGCTTTTTTCACTGAAGGAGGAGCCAAAATTGCAAAATCCATGTTCCTTGCTGCAGGCAAATAAAAAATAAAAAAATAAAAAGTCTTCAGTATGCAAAATGTCCAGAGCCTGACAGTTTTACAAGGTTACAAAGGTACAGATCATTAAGATGTAGCATGAAAAAAAATATTTTTTAGCTGTGGATTTACATTCTTAAGTGTATGTGTTTACATTCAAGCACAGAAGAGACATTGGGTGTGTTTTTAAAGTAAACTCGGTATTCTGTTCTTTCCATAAAAAGAGCTTACAGATCTTGCTATGAAGTGCAGAAATTCAAATCCTTTTCTTTTTTTTCTTTTTATGAGAGTGATTTTTGAGTGCCGATCATAACAATGAGAAAGCAAGAAGGAACAAGATGGTTTCTGATAGATTTCATAACATTTTGTTAGGGGGGAGAAAGGCCCAGTGTTGAAGTGGGTTGAAGCTGAATGTTTACATTTATTTACTATGACATTTCAGTTTCTACAGCTACCAGATCTGAGTTGCATATATTCAGATGGCTACTAATACTTTGCTGTCATGTGCTGGATGTTTATAGCTCAGATCTGATAGCTCTAGATAATAGATACTGCTCTATAAGGGTGTTTGGACTGAATGTTCAACTATTAGCTACTATCCAATAGTCTTCAACCTAGAACCATTCATTTAGCAACCATTCAAAGTTACAACAGCAGTGAAAAAACTTGACTTACAACCAGTCCTCACACTTATGATCCTTGCAACATCCCCATGATCACATAATCAGAATTCAAACTCTTGGCAACTAGCATGATTGATAATGGTTGTAGCATCCCAGGGTTATGTGATCACCATATGCAACCCCCCCCCCCCAAGCCGGCTTCTGGCAAGCAAAGTCAATGGGGAAAGCCAGGTTCAATTGATGACTACATGATTCATTTAACAGCTGCATTGATTCATTTAACATCCATGGCAAAAAGGTTGAAAAATTGGGCGTGACTGCTTTGCTTAGCAATGGAAATTCTGGTTCTAATTGTGGTGGTAAGTCAAGGACAACTTGTACAGTAATATTCTTGCTCTTATGTATGTATGCTTCCCATAGCCCATATTGCTAATTTTTTTTATCATACCTAAATTGTTTGGTAACAGTATTGCATCTGATAACAATGAAGAGGTTTCTCTTGCTAGCCATTCAAAACAGAGGATCTAAAACCTCATGCATTCTTCCATCAATTGTACCTTTGTCCCCATTACTGCAATGTCTTTTTGGCAGGGGGGAGGGTGGAAAGTGAAGAAGAATTATTAACACTTATTAGGACCAAGTTTGATACCACCACTGCTACCAGAACAATATGGTGGATGAAAACAAGCTATGGTAGGAACAGATCAGAGATAACAATTAGACACAGGGACAGTTTCTTCCCTTGTGCCATCACTCTGCTGAGCACCTAATTCTTACAGTGCTGTCTAATGTCTATGTGTGTGTGGTTATAGTATTATTATTTATCTTTCTTATTATTCTCTTTACTCTACCCTTTGTCTACCTATTCCGTGTTTCCCCAAAGACCTGGGATAGGCAGATCTGGATGTTTCATGGTGTTACAGATATTGTCGCAGGATGGAAGCTGTTCTGGGTAAAACTGCCTTTTATAATTGACTGATGGTGAACTTGTCAATGCCGATGGTGTTCAAGTGGTGCTTCAATTGTTTTGGGATTGCACCCAAGGCCCTTATTACTGTTGGTATCACCTTTGGTTGCTTTTGCCACAGTCATTCTATTTGCAGGTCTTTATAGTTTGTTATCCTCTCCAGTTTTTTCACTTCTATTCTGCTGTCTCCAGGTACTGCCACATCCACTCTCCAGACTTTTTTTTGTCTTTCTTACCAAAAAATGTTAAGTCTTGGGTGTTATGTGGCAGATGACTGTCTGTTTGACTTCTAAAGTCCTAGAGCAATTTAGCTTCTTCATTTTCTATAACTTTCTCTATTTTATGGTCCCACAAGTTCTTGCTTGCAGGCAAATGATATTTCTTGCAGATTGATGATGATGATGATGATAATGCTTTGCATGAACACTGAGTGCTCCTGTACTGGAGACAAATTCATTGTGTGTTGAATCACACCTGGCCAAATAAAGTTCAATTCAATTCAAAAATTTTGGACCTTCAGATTCAGAAGCTTCTCCATTTCCCAGACATATCTCACCCCACCCTGCCAATCAGGCTGTGGTATTTTATTTCTGTTTTGAAAGAAATGACAATCATTCAGGCATCAACACTTACAATGTAGCATGGAGGGCATCATTTCTCCCATGGAAGTGGGAGGAAAAATTCAGCCAAATCAGAGGGGTGGGTTGCCTTGCATGCTAGTTTTCTATTTGCTCCTTAAATGTAGAAATTTATGGATACAGGATGCCAGAGAATTCGAGAAGGGCATATAGTATGTTGTTTCTACTTTTTTAAAAAAGAGGACAGAGCTAATAACAATTGGATGTTGATACCTTGCATAATTCTGGAACAAATCATTAAGCAATCATTTGGTGAGCATTGAGAAAAGAATGTATTGTCTGGCAGGAACCAGCATGGTTTTCTCAAGGACATGTTATGCCAAACTAACCTGACCTCCTTTTTTGATACAGTGATCAGTTTCATTGGCCCAAGGAATGCGATGAACATAGTATACTTTGATTTCAGCAGAGCATTTGACAAAGTCTGCCATGAGAGCAGACACAACTGATAAATGTATGCCCATAGCTTCACATATTGGGTTCCATTCTAGCCCTCAGACTGTTGAACATATTTATAAATGAGTTGTTGAAGTGTTACAAAATATGGTTATGAAATTTGCAGATGACACAAAGGGCAGGTAATATACTCCTAGGTGGTTTATCAGGGTTCAGGAGGATCGTTACAATCTGAAACAATGCATAAAAAACAGTAAAATGCTTTCAGCAGGAATAGGAAAAATGTTTGAGTAGGAAAATGAAAGAAATGAGCACAGGCTGGAGAGATCATATTGGGCAAAAAGATCTAAATATTTTGGTAGATCACAACCTGAATGTAAGTCCACAATGTGATGCAGTTTCAAAACAATCACATACCATTGTAGGCTGCATCAACAAAAGTGTAATGTCAAGTGTATGGTTGTGCTCTATCCTGCATTCATCAGACTACTGCATCCAGTTTTGGTCACCATATTATAAAAAAGATGTTGAGATTCTGAAAAGTGAGTCACAACTGATTTTATGACCTTCTTTGTCATGGTTGTTAAGAAAATCACTGCAGTTGTTAAATGAATCATGAGGTCATTAAGTTAATCTGGTTTCCCCCATTGACTTTTCTCATTAGAAGTGGGCTGGGAAAGTCACAGTGATCACATGACACATGCTCAGATGGCTGTGATTGTTGGCAAGGGCCTTGAACTCCATCTGTATTGAGTCCCCCTTGATCTTTTTCCTTCTGGAGATTGTAGATTTCCACTTGTCTTGCTTCTTCTGTGCTCTGGCATTCTTTCCTAAGTGCACATTCCAGCCTTTCAAACTCATTCCTAAAATGACTTACCCACAGCTGAACAAAATAATAGAGTTGGAAGGGACCTTGGAGATCATCTAGTCCAGTGGTGGCGAACCTATGGCACGGGAGCCAGAGGAGGCACTCAGAGCCCTCTCTGTGGGCACGGCACCGTTACCCCAGTCCTAGGCCTTCAGCTGGGTTTTATAAAACCTTTTTGTTTTAGGCCTCCGCCGCCATGTACCAAAAAAAAAGGCTCAATCAATCAGTCAATTTCAACTTCTCGCAGGAAAAAAAAAGATCTTGCAAAGTTGGAATTGATTGATTGAACTTTTTAGTCCCACCCAATCTGCTGTTTCCACCGCAGCCACGCCCACCCGATGATGCATAAGTGGGTTTTGGGTCTCTAAAAGGTTCACCATCACTGATCTAGTCCAACCCCCTGCTCAAGTGGGAGATTGTGACTGTCCAGTCTCACACCCACAACTTCTGAAGGCAACCCATTCCACTAGTTAATTGTTCTCAGTGTTAGGAAATTTCTCTCTTAGTTTTCCCTGATTAGTTTCCATCCATTGTTTCTTGTCTTGTCTTCTGGTTCTTTGGAAAATAGGTTGACCCCTTCTTCTTCATGTACCAAAAAAAAAGGTTCAATCAATCAGTCAATTTCAACTTCTCGCAGGAAAAAAAAAGATCTTGCAAAGTTGGAATTGATTGATTGAACTTTTTAGTCCCACCCAATCTGCTGTTTCCACTGCAGCCACGCCCACCCGATGATGCATAAGTGGGTTTTGGGTCTCTAAAAGGTTCACCATCACTGATCTAGTCCAACCCCCTGCTCAAGTAGGAGATTGTGACTGTCCAGTCTCACACCCACAACTTCTTTTTTTTTATTATAGAGTTTTATAAATTTTACAGAAAATAAAAGACAATACAAAAACAAAAAACAACATATACAAATAAAAAACAAACATTACCCAACAAAACCCCCCTTCCCCCACCCCTACCCAAACCCCCCTTCCCCCCCCCAGGGCCTCCCAGAGCAGAATATAGGCTTAATTAAAAAAAAGTTAAAAAAAGGTAAAATATTTGGGGGTGATGCTATCTGTTTCTAATGCAAAATTATTTAAAAATAATTATGAAAGGTTGTGGGTTAGGGTACAGAGAGACTTGAAGAATTGGGAAAAGTTGCAATTATCCCTCATGGGAAGAATTGCAGTGATAAAAATGAATATTCTACCCAAGTTTCTCTTTTTGTTCCAAATGATACCGATTTTGAAGAATGAGATCAATTTAATTGAGTGGCAGAAAGGCCTTAATAAATTTATTTGGGCAGGGAAAAAGCCAAGGGTTAAGTTTAAAATTATGCAAGATTTCCGTGAGAGGGGAGGACTCAAGGTGCTGAATTTGAAATTATATTATGATGCGGTGGTTTTAACATTAGTTAGTGACTGGGTAAATTTGACAAATTCTGATATACTTCACTTAGAGGGATGGAATCTACTTTTTGGGTGGCATGCCTATTTAATATTTAATAAAAAAATGG